GACATTCACACTCTCTTAAAGGTCTCTTTTTAGATGGTAATGTGGCCGAGGCGGAGAAATTGTTCAAGAAGATTTTGACTTTGAAACTCTGTGAGCCAGACGATGTTACGATTCTTACTGTGATTGACGAGCTCTGCAAAGCTGGACGTGTTCATACTGCCCGTGATTTGCTTTTGTTGTTGGAAAAGACTATCTATAAACCCAGTGTTAAGGCCTATAGTGCGGTAATTGATTGTTTATGCAAGGGCGGAATGGTGGATAATGCACTCGAGCTCTTGTTTGCCCACTTTCTAATTGTGCTTTCAATGATGAATTCATAAGGAATTGAGAGGTTTCGAAAATTGGGGCTTAGGGTTTTCCGGAGAATTGGGGCTTAGGGTTTCTAAAAATCTGAACGTTTTGAGGTGTAGAGGTGCTTTTGTGTGTCACGTGCGGCGCACGTGCGATTTTCCGTCCAAACTAACTGGACAAATGGACGGAGGGACAGAAACGGCATAAAAGTGACATGTTTAGGGACGGAAATTGTAACTTCATCTTGTTTAGGGACGAAAATCGTGTAAGTGGTAATGTATAGGGACGAAAAGTCTAATTATCCCGTTATCTTCCTTTTGTTGCTTATTTTTGTTTTCCATAAGCTTGCAGCTCCACTTTGTCCTCTACTTCATCTTTTAGGGTGTGCGGGGTATTAATTTTCTCAATTTATTTTCATCGAATTACCGCCGCTGTTTGTGGCACCACTTCTTTTCATCTGTGTATCATGTGCCTTATTGTCGATTTTAGTATACCCTTCCTTTAGTAGCTCTACCTTTATTTCCAGAAATACAAATTGGCCCCCACTTGGGGGTATTACCGGTTTAAGGACCAAAATTTAAAACTATATATAATATACGGAACAAAACTGTAACTATCCGATGTTCATTATAAATAATATAATAAATTAACGTTTTCTTAAATCGTAAATCGTAAAATTTTATCGATTTGTTGATATTTAAGATTTATTATATCATTTGAATCAACCAACTTAGGTATGAATGTATTGAATCGTGTGTGTGTGTATATATATATATATAAATTTAACCTCAAAGCGGATCTCTCTTTTAAATCGTAAATCGTAAAATTTTATCGATTTGTTGATATTTAAGATTTATTATATCATTTGAATCAACCAACTTAGGTATGAATGTATTGAATCGTGTGTGTGTGTATATATATATATATAAATTTAACCTCAAAGCGGATCTCTCTTGAAATATCCGAAATGTCCACCACCAACACAGTGTGCTTCTACCGACTCCTCACCTATAATCGTGTTTGACTCATTTACGAAAATTCGCAATTCTGAGTTTAAAATCTTATGACTTACGATTCAAATCTTACGGTTCATTTCGTTCATACCTAAGTCGATTCAAAGTTCAAAAAAAATCTTAAATATCAACAAATCGATCAAATTTTGCGATTTACGATTTATGAAAAAAATAATTTATTATATTATTTATAATAAACTTGTGATAATTGCATTTTTGTCCCTATATTATATACCATTTTTAATTTTGGTCCTTAAACCGGAAATGCCCCCCAAGCGGAGGTCAATTTGTAATTTCAAAAAATCCACCTCCCTGGCTCAAACAGTTCTGAAAATTGCAGAATCACCCTTATACTTACTCCATCTTCCTATCCGCTCCACCCAAATTGCAATTTTTTCCCCAAAAGTTGATCTCTCTTTCAATATCCAAAATATTCGCTACATTTACGAGAATTCGCAATGTCGAGCATAAAACCTTATGATTTACGATTAAAATCTTACGATTCAAGTCATTCATATCTATGTCAATTCAAATGTTAAAATAAATCTTAAATATCAACAAATCGATCAACTTTTACGATTTTTGGTCCCTATATTATATACCTATTTCGCATCGCACGCGCCGTCATTCAGATAGCCTTTAACGGAAGGAAGAAAAATTAACTCCTGATTAATGAGCTTTCGTTAACACAAAAACGAGTTTATATTTTGACAATCATTTGTGCACTAGCAAATTCCCTTGTTTCTAAGGGAGTGGACCCCCAACACCCTCCGTAGACAACTTCAAATCGTCACTTCCCATTGCCACATTCGACACAAATTTTGCCTAATCGTAAAAAAAAAATAACAAAATGCAACCTAAAAATCGATATATGAAAGTATGTCGAAAATACATAATACGATAAGTTCTTGTATTCACCCGAGGCACCGGCACCGCGCATTGCGCGGTGCCCTACACTATATATATATATATATATATATATATATATATATATATTGGAGATATTAATATTAAATGATACATTTCACTAACAGCTTAAGCTTTTGGTTGAGATGGTCATTCAACATGGTATCAGAGCCAGGCCAAATGAAAGGTCATGAGTTTGAATCCAACAGCCACCCATTTAAAAATATTTCAAGTGCAAGGCTTCAAATGTAATTCGCCTGCACTTGAGGGGGTGTATTGGAGATATTAATATTAAATGATACATTTCACTAACAACTTAAGCTTTTAGTTGAGATGGTCATTCAACATATATATATAATTTTTTTTTAAACGGGTACCCGGGTAGAATTGCTAATACCCGGACCGACCCGGTTTGGGAGCACTGGGTACCCGAACTCGGAAAAAACCCGGTTGATTCGAAAATTACCCGATCCGGTCGGGTCATACCCGAATAACCCGACCCGATTGCCCACCCCTAATAGTAGAGGCTAGGTATCAACTCCCAGCTATCTCTGGTTATTCTATAATAAAGTACTTGTCTCTGTGTTTGATTGAATCCGGTCTTTTCTACTTTTCTACTCTAATAGTCTCCGTTTATAAATTAATTAATAGACTCCACAAGGACTGGAGAGTAATAAAGAAAACATATGCACAACAGAGACAAGTCCACCGGAGATATTTGAGGCGTATATAAAGCAACACCGCAAAGATTTCTCCGCATTCCTCAGCTCAAGGGGCGAAGAAATGGTACGAGGGGGCCATATGGTATTGACGTTTGTTGGTGGAAGACTAAAAGATCATGCCTCGTTAAAACAAGCCACACTGATTTCGCTTCTGGGGAAAACCCTTGCTGAAATGGTTGCAGAGGTAGATAATTAATTACACCACGATGATTTGACTGCTACAGTAATAAATAAATAAATATATAAATAAAACTTTTTTTTACTTAAATTCCTTCTGAAATTCTCGTCTTTTGAATTATTTAGGGGGTGATCAAGGAGGCTGATTTGCATTCATTCAACTTGCCAATATATCCACCAAGCAAGGAACAAGTTGAGGAAATTGTTCGAAGTGAAGGGTCGTTTGATTTGAACGAACTCGAGGAATTTGCACTCCCGTGGGATGTACATGTTACGAGTAGTGCTAAACTAGACAAGAACGGTTGGGCGAAACTCGTGACGAATTTCATTCGGGCTTTTTCGGAGCCGACATTGGCTGCACATTTTGGAAGCTCTATTATGAATGAAGTGTTTGAAAGGTATGGAAAGAAAATGGTGGAGGTTGATTCCAAGGAGATACCACCATTTCCCAATATGGTCATTTCCTTAACTAAGAAATGAAAAAAATTGTGTGTGTGTGTGATGGGGGGGGGGGGGGGGGGGGGAATAAGATCACAATATAAGGTTGATCATTGTTTGATTTGTATTTGTATAAGAAATATGTCTTGATTTTCATGTTGTGAGCTTATATAGTATGTGACCTTTTGAGATGGTTGAAGACATGGTTTTGGAGGGATAATTACAGTTTTGATCCCCAAAGTTTGCAAGTTCTTCACTTTTAGTTCCCCATTTACTACCTTCAACAAAATATACACTAATGTTGTCACATTTTAACATATTGCGCCATTCTGTCTGTTTGACCGTCAAGAAATAACGATACTATTGAATTAGGGCTGAATTTGGGATTTTTCATTAAGAAAATTGCATTCAAACCCCTGCATTCTTTTAAAATATTCAAAAAATACCTAAAATTTTATTCAACCCTTAACCTCAATTTCATCATTTAATCAATTTTGAGGAACGACCCCGATTTTTACCACCATCATAGCTGACCGTTGACCGCCGTTGATTTTCTTTTTAATCTTTTTTTCGGCATTGATTTTTTTTTAAATATTGTTTTTGACATTGTTCACCGACATTGGATTGTCGGTTAACAATGTTGACTTTTTTATTTTTCTTGATTTTTATTCAACTTTTTCCTGTGACTTTTTTTTCTGATCAACACAATATTATTATTGTATAACACAATTATAATACTATATTAATATCTAGTATCGTAATATTAAAATTGCAAACTTCTAACAAAATTTTTATCTAAAATTTTGGGGCCAAAATACAATTTAAAAAATTCGCAAAATTCACAATTTCTTCCTCTCAAGGTTTACTTCGTGGAATCGCTAGTGCATCCCAAATTTCTTCCCAAAAAAATATGAAGAAGATGAACTAGGCATGTGCAGAGTAATTTGGAAATGAGATAACCACTCTAGTATAACGGTTTTTGGGGCTAGCATCTACCGTTAATTTTTATCTTTTTTTTTTGTCTTAAATTTTTTCCGTCGTTCAGCTGCGTTGACTTTTCTCCTTTTTCTTTTATTTTGACTTTTTTTAATGATATTATTTTTCTTCGCGGTTATGAGCTTTGACTTTTTTTTTAAATTATATTTTTCTCATTACTCAACAATTTAAATAAAGATAAAATAAAAATCAAGAAAAAAAAGTCAACGCTATTAACTAGACATTCAACATTGGCCAACAGCGGTAAAAAAAAAAAAAGACAATCGAAAAAAGAGTCGACTGAGTTAAAAATAAAGTCAAAATCGGGGGGTCATTGGTTAAAATTTGTTAATTGATGAAATTGGGGTTAAATTAAGGTTGGATAAATTTTTAGGGGTTTTTAGAATATTTTGAAAGAATACATGGGTCTTATTGCAATTTTCCTAAAGAAAAACCCTAATTCAACCGTTGACCGTTACTTCTTGACGGTCAAACAGATGAAGGGACTCAATGTGTTAAAATGTGACAACGTTAGTATGTATTTTGTTGACGGCGATAAATGGGGGACCAAAAGTGAAAAACGTGCAACCTTTGGGGACCAAAAATTTAATTATCCCAGATTTTGGATTGTATTGTTTCCAAAAAAATCCTCTCTCATATAAAACAAGGTTAATGGCATTTTTCTCCCTGCACTTCAATAAGTTTTTCACGTTATCCCCTAGACTGAAAAAATTGCTGGTTCATACCTAAACTTTCATTAATTCGTTCCAATTTCCATGATTCATGTTATGCTTGAAATACCACACACCGCCCCAATCCACTTGAATACAGTTTTTGCAAATATTAAGCTTTGTTTCTAAATAGTCTCGAATCGGCAAAAATAACTTCTCTTTCCAAAAAATCTGAAATAAAACAAGGAAACCATATATAGTATATATAAATAAAGTCGAACAAAGACCCAAATTAAACTCGAGGATTAGATACGTAATAAACATGCAAAACGAACACGTATATATCACCGGTTCACATGAACTACGTACAATTTTTTTAATGCTTATTATTGTTCGGTTTGGGACACGCGACGAACTATAGATTTAGGTAGGGGTGAGCAAAAAACCGAAAAACCGAAAAACCAAAAAATCGAGCCGTTTTAAACCGTACCGAATAGCAAACCGCATGTACGATTTTTTTATTTTTGAAATACCGAATTATTCGGTTCGGTACGGTGGAAAGGTAAATAACCAAACCGAAAAATCGAACTGAACCGAAGTTATAAAATTACTTCATTTTATATAATATATGTATTATTTTACCCTAATTTTTATTTTCTATCTTTCAATTACTTGTCTCATTCTAAGCATTTTGTTCATAAATTGAGACATTGTATTTTATTTATTTAGTAATTAAAAATTTACTTGAGTTCATGGTTTTAATAATGTGTGATCCATTCGAAAGAAAAACGATCATGAGTCTTCTTCGCAGAGGTTGATGGCCCTGCAAGAAAGGAAACCGGACTGAAGCCGGAGTTAGCACTCCGACAATCAAGTCAGTGGAGGCTCACGTGTAATCTCGAAGGTTTTCTATTAAACTTGCATATTGCTTATAAAGAAGAATATATGTGTAAAAAACCTGGTCCTTTGGATGGGCTTTATACCTCCTTTTATATACCTTGGCAGGCCCATATCCAAGGCCCTAAATCTCGGCCAGCGGCCATATAGCGTAATCTACCTGCTGGAGGACAGGTGGCCCAGATCATGATGACTCTCCTAGTGGTCTTCAGGCGTGTTAGGTAGTCCTCTTTTCGACTTTTCCCAATTTTTACGCCGCACCTAGTCATTCGGGCATTAAATGCTTCTGCCAGAACATTTAATGCGCCGCTGGGATGTTGTCAGAGCATTTATGTCTTCCTTCCCGTGCTTGCTGTGTCTTTCCGCCTTTAATGGGTTTCCCGAGTAACGCTAGTCTCCTCGGGACCCCGATCTCCTCTTTTGTCGCTTTGTGACGGAGCGGGGGTGGGTTTTAAGGACTGGGCTTTCCTTCCTTGGGCCATCCGTATCTAGCTAAACTATTCTTTAATTCGTTCGGGCCTTCGTTAGTGGGCCTTCTGTTTTGGGCTTCTTGGTCCGGTAATTGGTCTGGATCAATGTGGTAGATGAAAGTAGGAAAAAAAATGAAGCATAATACATCATCTAAATTACGTTAAGTCCTATGGGATTAAAAAGTTTAAATTTTCATTGCATTAGTAAGTTATGAAAGTAATAGTAATTGTATTCTTTTGTTTTGTACAATTTCATGAGTATATAGTTACTCTTGAACCCAAAAAACCCGAAAGCGAAAGAAACCGAACCGATAAAATACCGACATACGCGGTTTTTAATTTTACAAAAACCGATATATTCGCTTCATATTCGGTTTTAGCCAAAAAGCGAACCGAACCGAGCCGTGAACACCCGATTTAGGGTGGCCTGGCTTGCTCAAAAGTCAATGCCCAGAAAACATCAAAATGTAATTTTATGTCATCGTGTTGTGGATGAATTATTTTTCAGTACTGTGATGGATCTAAAAATCATGTAATACGCATTTCAAATCTTTTGATGATCTTCAAAGTAAAAAAAATTAAAAAAATAAATCGGGTCGAATTATAGTGGAAAAGTCAACGTCGAAATCGGCGGGAAAAATAGAAGGAAAAAAAGTCAACGCTGGAGATCGGCGGTCAACGGCAGCGACGGACGAAATTGTACTCAAATTGAGTTTTGGATTAAATTGAATAAATTGTCAAATTTTAGGTCAACTTGAATTAAAGGATGAAATTAGAGTATTTTAAAATGTGATGGGAGTATTTTAATCTTTTACACACTTCTGGATTGTCTAGACTTTTTTGTAAACTAGTTTTATATAAACAGAAAAAGGCTTGTTACAGATAGAGAATGTAATTAGTGGATAGTTCACGTTTTTGTTGGTTTGTTTAATCCAATATATATGGATTTATTATGCAGAGATCCCATATATACATTACATTTTTTTTGTATGCAGCGATAGTGAGTGGGGTAAACAATTGAAAATCGACGCCAGTGAGTTGATAAAAGTTGGCCGTACGTTGAGATAGAAAATGAAAGGGGGAAAGAAATAAAAGAAAAAAGGAAAAATTCTTATCGACGCTGTATTACAGGGAAAGTTGCAGAAAAAGAAAAGGAAAAATAAAATTGAGCGGCAGAATTAGGATTCTACCTTGCTTATATATTTGTAAAATATATATATGATTATTATTATTATTATTATTTTTGTATTATACATATCTTGTAATATTGGTATGTAAATTTCTTAACTTCCTTGTCTGATTAGTTAGGGTTTCCAGCATGTACTATATATATTAATATGTATTGAGAGACGATTATTATCTGCCTCTCCAATTCTATTATATTGTTCCTATACATTAGTCCCTCATGGATTCTTCTGCTAATGTGGTTTGGATACCAATGTCGGCAAATGGCCCTAACGCCCTTGAATATGGCCCGTTTGCAGTGCAAGAATACAACAGGCGGGCGCATAAGGATTTGAAATACGTAGGTTTTGTCACCGGAGCCACAGCCGCGGAAGGTGTAAAGTTGCATGTACGAATGACCATCAAAGCAAAATCCGGCAATCATGTGGACATGTATCGTGTAATAGTGGAAGGAGTTCCCTACAACCACACGAAAAAACTTGTCAACTTTTACATCCAGGCATAGAGAAAATGAGAATTATTAGTGCACATAACTCTATTCGTGCCTTATTATATGTCTTTTTATAATGTTTATTTATTTAATTACTTTTTTTCTCAAATTATTTGTCAATTTCAATAAAGCATTAATTTTTTTTATTTTTTTTCAATTTGACCTCTTATCACTCTTAGTTAGTTAATTATAAAATTGTTAATGCAAGGATATTTTAATATTTATTATTCTTTAGGGATAGCATTGTGACCCGATGGTCCGTTTTATATAAAAAACACGGATGCCAATGAATGTGTGACACGTAGACACAATCATAGTTGCCACTTATTGGTTAACTCCCTTAAATATGTCTTTTACTCCATTTAATCCGTTAAAATAGAAGTGATATATCTCCTCACTCTTTTCATATTTCTTCTTATTTGTTAAAAATGTTGATTTTCTTCTTTTTTGTAAAAAAAATATATTTTTACCACGGTTACATGTTGTTTCTATGAAAAGTTCTATTAAAATAATAAATAATATTATATTCTATATACTGTAAAATAATATTATTTTAAATGAAATATTTTATTAAATTTAATGACTCATTATATTCTATATCAAATAGTGTACAGTAAATATACGTAACAAAAACAAGTAATCAAAAGAATTACTTGAAAGTTGAAACAAATAATTTAAGAGAAAACAATCGAACAAAATAGCGTACAGTTGGTTAAATTAAATTTTACTCAAAAAAATTAAAAGAATATTCTTTTTATCATTTTACTCAATTCAGCTTTATTCACTGCTATTAAAAAAATAAGAGCAAATATATATTACCCTTAATTTAATAGCAAAAATAAATTAATTATATCTTATGACTTAAACCCTAAATTTGTTGCACTAAATTAAAATAAGAAATAAAAAGTAGTTAATATATTGGGGCTCTTTCATATAACTCCTTAATACTTTTTTCAATAGGGAGAGGTCCAAACTATTTTGCACTATTTCAGAAAAAACCCTTCTAATTTTAGCCACCCTTTTTTCCATTATGCTCATGCCACCTCATCAACACTATCACCAATCATGCACCCACAACTTCATTAGCCGTTTTTTTTTTTTTTTTTAGTTTTTAGTTTAATATTTTTTTCTCTATCAAGTATATTAATCGACTATGAGATTTAAGCATAGTCGATTAAGAATCTGACTATTAAAAATAACAAATCATAACTACAAAATCAACTATATTTTACAAAAACAAAAAGTATACAAACATTATAATTAGTTTATACAATTGGAATCAATAAAAAAAATATAAAAAAAAAATTGGAGTTGGTCAACCTTAATCGACTACCAGAGCATAATCGATTAACTTAATCGACTATTGAAAACATACATAGTCGATTAAGGTTCCAGTCTGCGCGAATTTTATTATCGGCGCCGTTATCCGCCTGATCCACCAAAAAACCATAAATCTACCTCCCCATCATCACCGCACCGCCGCCACACCACACTTTGTCAACCATATAGTGGGAGTTCGATCTCTTAGTCTCCTAGTTTCAAGAATTGAAATCCTCCATTAACGACTTTACTGAAGAACTCCATTTAAATATAACAAGCCGAAAAGAGAAAAAAAAACACAGAAAAGAAAGAAGATGAAGAATCTGGAAATTCATACTTTGTTCACAACAAACTGTAATCTTGTCACAATCAACAAGAAATTCTGAGAGGTCCACTCAGACTCATGACATATTTGCAGAAATTAATATCAAAACAAATTGGATGTTGTTATTTTCTCTCTTAATTTCTTACGCGATTTATTGTAAGAAAAAAAAAAGATATTAATGTGTATACGGCTTCAATCCCGTTGATGATATGAGTGACGACCTTTTTCCACTTGTCCAGAGGAGAAGAAGAGGAGGAAAATAGAGGAGAGAGAGAGTGTGTGTACGTGAAAAGAAGAAGTATAGGAAAAAAATAAGGAGAGAGAAAGAGGAAGAAGAGGGGGAAAAATGAGGTGAGAGAAAGTAAAATGTACGTAGAGAAGAAGGAGGAAAAAGAGGAGAGAGGGTGTATTTGACAATTAATTATAGTTTTGAAATTATGAAAATATCATTTGGGTGGAATATTAAATAAGGAGATTTTCTCTAATTATTTTTGGGAGGGAATGTTTCGTTAACTACATTTCCTAAATGAAGGGGTTCTTGCTGATTTTTCCTAATATATTACTACGATTAAGAGTATCAACCTTTTTCCTAATACTAGCAAGGTGCACGTGCGTTTCACATGTCGTAATATTATTATATGGTGAAAATACTTTTTTTGTGTCCAGATTAGATTGCAAGATGCCTTTTATTAAATATGAGTCAATTGGTTTTAGACCAAAAACATATTGCTACTTGTTGGTGATAATACCTACACGCAAGTGTACGTATCGTACAAGTAATATAGTTGGCAATTAAGTCCGGATATCGATCCCACGGAGAATATTTAATTACTTAATCCTAGACGCTAAATCTTATCAATTATTATCAAGCCCACCCTACACAGTCGAAAGATGAATAATAAACTAAATTAACTAAACTCAATTAAGCAAATTAAAAAGACAAAAGCAAGAAAGCAAGTAAAATCGAACATTTAACCAGAGAAAGCAAACCTAGGATTTTATTCTCCCCCCTATATGATTATTACTCCCTCAACCCCTTCAATTATGCAAGTAATTAACTCAGATTATTAGCCTGAGATGCTAAATTAATCATAACCCGCTTCCGCGTGTATTACGATTCTAATACTCTAGATTCAATTATTGTATTCCTACGCAATTAATTCTAGAACACAGCATTAAGCACAAGTTTCAATAATGGCTACCTAAGAGATTAACTATATTCCTATGTTAATACCACAAAGGCTCTTCTACCACAATTCTAATTATTAACCCGATCTTCCGATTCATGCGATTAACAATAACATAAAAGCACATAATGTGATCAAGTTTATGCACTTAATAAAACAAGTAGAAGAAATAATTCGGAATTAAAACTTGCATTAAATCATAGAATTGGGTTCATTAATCCCACATAGAGTTCGAAATAAAATCCTATGAATACAAGAGTTAGCTACTCATGATTAAAGTAAAAACAAAATAATAATTCATAAAAAGATAAACTATGCTTGTAATCTTCGAATTCTTCGTCTTTGTTATTGCTTCGTTGCTCTTGAAATTGCGTAAAAGATTGATGCCCAATTATGTGCTTGGCTTGGTCTTATATAGGGTGGAAAATTTGGAGGAGAAGGTAGTTTACCTATGCAATTAAAATTCATTTACTGCGCTTCTACGCCTTCTCGGACGGCCGTCTGAGATTATGTACTAAAACTCGGACCGCCGTCTCAATTCCAGAGACTGCCTATGGCCTATGTTTCTCGGACGACCGTCTGAGATTTAAGTGTAATTCTCAAAGGGACGTCTGGGCTATAATTCTTCAGATTTTTTACTTCTTCACTTTTCGCCCATATTTTCTCCAAAATTGCAGTTTTCACCCCATACTTATCCAATTCTTCAATTTATACCTAAAATACAATAAATCAACATTTTAAGCACCAATTATCATTAAAACACACCAAAAGCTCCAATTAAAAGGTACGATTAAGTGTAAAAATATACACTTAACACTACTTCTGTAAATATTGGAGAAATGTAAACTACATCAAATCAAACTTAAAATGCTTCTCTTATCTTCTTTGTATTGCATATACATTGAAATTCAAGTGAATCCTAGGAAAACATATTTTTCGAGATTTATGATCATATTTGCAGTCAATTACGAGATTTTGTTTAGTATTGCTATTGTAATATGATAGTTGTTGAAGTTAATGATGTCTATGTGAAATGATTGAAAACTAATACAACTCTTATAACTCTATGGTGGGACAACAAATGTACTCATGATAACCAAAATGCATCATCCAATTGTAATGTTCCTCATGGCACACCTAGTCCTTATGCAACAGTAACCAATTCCATTTTTTTTCTTATTGAATGATGAAACATACATTAGAAAAATAAACAAAAAACTTAGAAGCTTGTGCATTAACATAATTTCCAGCTAGCAAAGAGCATGAATATAAATTATGTTCCAAACATACTCTACACAAATTTAATTGGTCTATATGCTACACAGTAGTGTAAAGAGAAGGTTATGTTCGTGCAACCTTTACAAAGAGTATCACTCCACATGACCGCAAGTCTAGAGTAGCTCTATAATGGTCTCGATCGTTTCAGAGTTAGAGAATTTAGATAAATTCGAAACATAGACAAAAATGAGACTTGCATATTTTAATAACATACCTCAGGGCATTTTGACTTTGACATACTATGTACCAGGCCATCATCCTGTCAAAATAATGACATAATAATTTCACAAAGTGAAACTATGTCTAATTATAAAGAATAAATAATTCATGGAAGAACTTTAGATATTGTCCATAAGTTTGCATACAATGTTATCTTTGATATGTTACAAAGATTGAAAGATATATCTCAAGTGAAACTTGTATCTCAAGGGTAGTAGTGCCTTCTTTATTCTAGAGCACTGAGCTGAATGTCTAGTTGAATCCATTTTAAAAGAGCGTATCAAGAGCATAATCTTGGCCTGCATACAGTAAAACCTACTACAATGCTAAATAAAACAATGAAATATATTAATGAAACTAAAACATTTTTTCTTCAACCATTGGTATGTCATGAAATATCAAAACAAAGAACGGACTACATGTATACAACCATTTCTTCACTTAGCTTAGCTTCCTTAAACTAACAATTTAGTAAAACCATTCGAGAATAAAAGATTGAGCTGAAATTTATGCCTATGCATTTTGGATGGCTTCATTTTGTCCTTCAGCTATCAGTTTCATCATCATGTGATTACACCATGGATCGGAGAATCCATTTGTTGTTGACTTCACATGTACGGTTGTACCTCCCATGCCTGTTATGTCTAAGAAAAATGATGTAAATCCAACATCCTTATCTTGTAGTTTTGACGTATCACATTGACTTGCTATAAAATGAGAAAAAAACGAACCAAATATAGTTGTTGAATGACCACCTCAACCAAAAATTAAGCTATTATTATTTAATACTAATATCTTCAATTCGCCCCCTAAAGTTTAAGCAAATTACATTTGAAGCCTTGCACTTGAAATAATTGAAATGGATGGCGGTGGGATTCAAACTCATGACCTTTCATTTGGTCTGACTCTGATACCATATTGAATGACTACCTCAACCGAAAGTTTAAGCTATTAGTGAAGTGTATCATTTGTCACTAATATCTCCAATAATAATGGTGATAAAGCATATAAAGTAAACTGGCATAATTCACTCTAGTATCCCCTTGAATGGCTCATAGATTTTCTATAATAATATCTCCCTAAAACTCACCTGAATAGTAATGGGAACCAGATCGAAGATTTGTGTTAAAGGAATTTAATATCTAATAACATTAATTTTTTTTTATGAGAGCACGACAGCGAATACAAGTGTTTTACATAAGGTGGGAGGTATTGTCTGCACGAAGGAAAAGGAGACTGATGATTCAATCAGAGCCTAAAACTTAACTCATGATTTTTAATTTGGAGTAAATACAAAACTTACTAAATTGAAAAGGAAACTATCTATAGCCATTGGACCCTAATATTTAGAGGGAAAAAATATGAATTGGAAAATATAAGAAGTTCATGAACAAATAAAATCACTAAAAATTCTAATAATATAGAAGATAAAACAAACAAGGGGCATTAAAATTTTTGCCATCAAAATAAAAATCACGGAAACAAGTTTATATAAATAAATTACATGAGAAATAACTTTTAATTTCATGTTATATTTGTCTACCATTAGACAACATAAAACCATTAGTCAAGTCCATCGATTGCCCTTATACTATCTCTGATTAATAAGGCCCC